GTACCCCGGGTATTATCCAAAATTTGCCTGTAGATTGTATTATACCCGGGGTACCGTGGTCCGCGCTGTACGGTAATAATGTATTCTACTTTGTGTTGCTCTAAACTTATATGAATCTCAAAGTGCTTCTTTTGATCATTATAAAGTGCATTTTCTGTAATCACTTAAATTTGTAAAATGATGAATTTTCAAATAAAGTTAATTCATGAGAACAGAATTTTAACAAATACAATTTTATTTTTTTGTTATAAAATGTAAAGAACGATTACTATCGAGAAATGAGTATTGTTATCTGTTATAAGTTTGATTAGATTCATGAGATTATTTTCTTTTTGTGTACAAGCACTAACTCAAGATTAAGAACATGTTTATAGAATATATACTTACCATATTCTTTCCGAAAATTCGTTTGAAGTTCCTCAAAATCATGTTCTCTATCTCTACTACATTGTCTTCTCATGTTCTGCGAAAAAAACAACCACATTTTCTATTTTTTGAATAATTATCAGATATTATGTGTTAATCCACGCTTTATTTTTCAGAACAAAAGCATTAAATAAAAGCGAGCAAGTCTGTTAAGAAAATTTTAAATCTTGCTTGCGATTCTAATATAAATATACAAACCTGCCCATGATCCGTGTTGCTCATTAACTTTAATTAACTTTAATAGCAATGCTTTCTTAATCTCTATTCTGATATCTTAACATTCCTATTTTTCATTCATCAATTAGAGGGCGAATTCGTTATCATTCTAAATCAATGCGTTTTGTGAACAAAAGATAGTTTTCACTTCTAAACTGACATTAAGACTCCGGATCTCAACAGCTCCTGTTTCCTAGTATAAACAAAATCAAAGCTATATTTTACCTCGACAATATTTTATAATCAATCCTTAAAATAATATCTAGTTAGAAAATAAAAAGACAATGAAAATTAGTCTTTTTACATTTTCTAAATGAAATTTAAATACCATTTAGCCAATATCAAGGGAATATACCAAAATATATAAAAAAAAAAAACCACTAAGCAATGATTGGTTCGAACGTGTCTTGAAAGTGAATTCAGTTTAGATCTTTAAAATAGGTTATGACAATTCAATCTATATTCAATAAAATGGATAGATAAATGTTAAATGTATAGTAAAAGAATCTTAGCATTGAATTTACGTAGATAATAATGTGAATGCCAACCAATCAAATTTCGAGTTTGATTTCGTCGATAGTCTCAAAACGTCATTTTCAAAACAAGATACTTCAAAGGGTTTTGTCGTAAAAGGGAAAAAACATAGATAGTATAAAACTATAAAATAATCAAAAATTTTTATTATAATAAAGAATACTAATTGCATTGTAAGATACAAATGTTAGAAGTGAAAAACTATTTTTTTTCACAAAACAGTTCAGTTCAGGTTCAATATTAAACCTTTAAGTCAAGTTCAGGTTCAGTTCAGGTTCAGTTCAAAAGTTCAATAACATATTCAAGTTCAATAAGTAAACACAACAATAGTAAACATAGAAAGGCTAATTGTAAATGTCGTGACTAACATTAAATTTGCAGTTAACAAATTCGTTGTTAAACAAAAAAAAAAAACAAATAACTATATTTAGTATCTAATATGCTAAACATCTTGACGCACCTGAAAACCACCAATTTTATCTTGGAAACACTCATTAAATTTTGTATAACATTATCGTTATAATTTTGACTTTAATAGAGAACTGTGACGAAGAACTTTCTACTAAATATTTAAAATTATATTCTAGATTTTGTATTTGTGTTCTTGATTAGAAATATAACACATGCACTCTCATTTATCGTAATATCCCTTTTGCTTCTACCTCTCAAATCTTGATATCCATAATTGGCTCCTTCGCTTATGAGTAAATTTAATTACGTATCATTTATGTCTTTGATGATAATAAACTTGAAATCCCATAGCCTGGTTTTCTTTGGTGTCATTCGAATATAGAGAATCATTTGATCTTTTTTGTGCTCTAATTGAACCGTCAATTTTAAACACTAATACTAAGGATAAACAGTGATACTAATTACATCGTGGTAAATTTGGTAATTTACGAAAAATGTTTATTTACTTTGGTCATGCAGTCATGATACTAAGAATTACAGTAAAGAATTAGTATGACCTAAAATTAATAGGATGTTTGATTCGGAATTTTTTTTTAAACTGTAGAAACTGTTAGGTGTTGCATTTCGGAGTTGTTAATTTTATTGTATAACACAAGTTCCTGTTGCCCAACAGCTTGAAAATTCGTACATGTATGATTTTTCTTATTCTCAAAGATCATGAATTAATTCCGAATTTGCTGTTTAAAACGTTCAGTCTTTAGAGATGAAGCGTTTAAGGTTGAAATGCAGTCATACATCTAAAGCACAATTCTATAGCTTTGAACATTCTCCAATCTTTGTATAATTTATTTCTTTCTGTAGCAGTTATTATTTGTGCGAACAACGTATGTACGTACGTACGTACGTACGTACGTACGTACGTACGTACTCGTTTGATCACCGAATCTTTTATGTTTATCCTAATTTTAGTACCTTTAATTACACAAATGTAACCAATTTACCAATTTAAATTTGTATGTACGTACAAAAGTAAACAGATTATCAAAATGAATGTCCAAAATCAGTAATTATACAAAGGACATTATATGAAATTTGAAGACTATATTTATGAAAAATAACGTACAGTACGCGTTAATAAATAAAAAATTAACCGCGTGGTGAAAAATAAACCAATTGATTGACAGCAAACTGCGTGGTTTCAAAGACATTCTGAAAAAGGATTACAATATGGTATTATACACGGTAAACTATAAATCAACGCGATTTCTCTAGAAAAAAAAAAAAAAAAGCAAAAAATGGCATTGGTTACGAGAAGCACCGAAAACACCCAAATCAGTTGCGCGATCAAGGCAAGTAATGAACTTGTAAGAAATTTACACCGCGATGGATTAGATCGTGGGTGCATTGCAACATTTAATAGTAAAATGGTTGTGAGACAGGTAAAGGATATTCTCTTTTTATTATCTCTATACTTTTATAATTCTTTTTATATAATTTTTTTTTTTCACCAATTTCTTTTTATCAGAACTTTACTAGAGATGAAACATCACTTTATCGCTCTCTTAACAGTTTAAAGAACTATGTTAGTGGTTCCACTCGTCTTTATGATAGTATTGTTGATATCATAAAAACCTTTCATAGTAATGGCGACCGTACTCGTCCTTGGATTTTGGTCGTTGTAACTGATGGTGATGACAATGGCAGTAGCCTCAGTTTACTTAAATGTGCTAGTGAAATATCACGATTATTTACTAAAGATTCTAGTAACTTTTTGTTTCTTGTTGGTGTCGGTGATGATGTGAATTCAACCAAGATGGAACAGGTATTGTCTTACTTTTATTATATTATCATCTACACATATATACATATGTATATATGTATATATATTAATATTTTAAATTAAATCAGATGGCTAGTGCTGGCAACTTCATCTACTTCCCTGTTAAAGACTTTTTCCTTCTTGAGCTTGTATTCTTGACTATTGCCCATAAAATCACTACCTCTCTATCTCTCTCCCTTGGCAGTCTCTCTGTCGGAAACTATTCCGCTTCATGGGCCGAAGTTCAAAGGCATAGAAATCTTAGCCAAGTCGCCATCGATTATGCTCTATTGATCGATGTATCTAGTTCTATGAATAGTATAATAAAACCACCTGCCCCTCAATGTTTTGCCGGCCATGACTTGAAACAAAAAGTTCAAATTGGTGATTGGTGGTGTGATATCTGTGGAGAAGATGGTCTAACTTCGGTATGTCTTTCATCTTTACTCTTTACCTTTTTATTTATTTCTAATTTTTAATAAATTCTGCGTGTCCATAGACTTCTCAATATCACTGTAACATCTGCAATTTCGATGCTTGTTCTAGCCATTGCGAACCTGGTGAAATATGCAAAGCTAAAAGTACCTGCCGATATCGTCATCCTCTTCGTTATGTGCAAACTCCTGCAATGTGGAGGTGTGATGAATGTAGTAAGATTTGTTTTGGAAGACGTTTACACTGTAAACAATGTGATTATGAATTATGTTCAACATGTTTGGCAAATGAGGACCTTGCTTATTTAATGGCAAACTTGCTCATCGCCTCTGCAAGATGAACAATTTTTTTTTTGGACATTGGTTTTTTTATTTTTTAATTATTTGATCATATGCATTTTATTTATCATTCATATTCACATTCACATTCACATTATTATCATTCATATTCACATTCACATTCACATTCATTATCATTCGCATGATTTCCAACTCGGCATTTTTTTTATTCAGAAACGCTATTGATATTATTATTAAAATAATTGTTAAAGAAACTTTAAAGGACTTTAAATGTGAAATAACTAAAAACATTGAGCTTGTAGTGTAATGATAATTAAATTTATCAATAAAAAGCAATGTTTCTTTTACGATATAACTCAGTTTATCAGAGCACATCAGATATATTAACCTATTGCCAATGTATATTATTTTTAATAATTTAATTTAGAATGAAAATAGTTGATTACTTGAAATATGAAATATAAACTTTTGGTTTAACTTTTGGTGAGTTATTTTTAAAGTTTTTTTTTATATTTAACAAATATGGACCAATTTCATTTAATCCGCAAAAATTAATATCAAAATGTAATATATATATTGTTTTTTGAGAAAAAGAACAAACTCAAATGAACTATTTAAAAAGTAATTCTTGTAATTTTTAACGAATTTGTGACATATTTTCGAAAGAGAAAATTATAATTCATCGCAACCTTCTAACTAAATCACTAGTTATAGCTGTTTTCAAAAAGGTGCAAATATCACGGGAAATTCACGAAATTACCCAGATTTTCAAAACTTTCAAAGCCAGCTCTAATCGGATCTTCAATTTTTACTAATGATAATTTCCCAATTCTTCGATTCCCCACATAGGTATGTGGAAATCGTTGTTCACGCCTTTTTGAAACAGCTGTAAATATATGCAATTCGACCTCCAATATTTTATAACAATTCGGAGGGGAATCAGCATCTAATTTTTGGTTGATAGTTAAAAATATAGTTGATAGTTAAAAAATAATAATCGAAGAAATTTTTGATGCAAATCTTTAAATATATTTAAGTTTGCAAAAATTTCACAAATGAGATTACATAATAAATAATAAAATATTAATTTATATTTTTTTTATTAAAAACATTATATAACTAGGAATCGCGAACCGATGTAAGTCCGGAGCGTAAAATAAATTATAAATTAATTATTCTAAAATATATAACATATGTGTCAATTTTTGTAATTAGTAATAACTTTTAATCTGCTAACTTAGCAGATTAAAAGTTATTACTAATTACAAAATTGACACATATGTTATGTTTGTTTATTATAATTGTGCATGTAGAGATCAGTTATTGTCGGTAAATATATGTTATGCTTAGATAAATTTTGTCCCGATATTTATGACCTATACTCAAAAGTATTATTTCTCAAATCGGCAAATATTAGTTCAGTCGATTCTTTACCAAATGTTCCTGAGTTTATAAAATCAGCTGTAAATATGATAGAATTATTTATAACATATGTATCAATCTGTCATTACTATTAAAGTTAATAAATCTTTTAAATGTATATTTAATTAAATTGTATATTATTTTTTTTGTCTTATAATTTTAACAGCATAATGGGAGCTAAATTGCATATGTATGCATTTTGCTCTCCCAATCAAGTAACAAGAGGGCCTCCACCTTCTGTTATGACAAACCTAGCCATTTTTTATGAGTATAAAATTGTTGGCAAAGAAATGTTTAATTTTTTACATAATAAACTATTTTTTTAATCAATGAATTTAGTATTTTGCATTAATTATAGACCCTGAATTCTTAAATTTTATGAACCAAATATTTTTATTTTTCTTAAATAATTTGTATTCTACCCAAATTAAAACAATTAGACAAAAAAAATTTTTTACATTCTGCATATAAGAAAATCTAACTAGAAAATACTATAAATCACAGTATCCTGAAAACATAAACTCACTATATAACAATATACACAAATACAAACAATAGACTATTATAAAATATAAGTTGTGCTCTTCAAAGCAAAATTTTTTAATAAGATAAACTCATGACTATATACTAAACCCAGGATTTGTAATAACAGAAGAAAACATACCTGATTCAAACTTAATCTCATATCTGGTATGCAGTACATAAAAAATATTTCATGATAATGGGTCAGTTAATCACCAATATTACAAGAAATGTTCTATTGGGCAAACTCTGCAAATCTTGCAACTTTGCTATTAAAAAATTAATGATTACTAATCATTAGTGAAGCTTATTTCTTATATTGCCCACCTATTTTATAGAATATCCATTACAGATATAATTTCTCACAGTTTAGATCAAATATATTTCTTCCTGTTATTTGTAATAAGTTTTAAAATTAGCAAAAATAAAAAACCTGGATCTTGTATACTGTGATTTGTGATTCTTATAAACTTTATTTTAATATTTTTATTTGATCTTATTTTTTGTAAAACTTTTATGAATCTATAACATAATTTGGTAGACTGAATACTTTTAGTTATTTGAGAGTATAAATTCTATAATATACAATATTTATAGATAAAGTATAAAAAAGGAAATACAAATTAACTTTTTATAGAATAGTAAAATAATAAATTAATACAAATATAAAACAAGCCTATTTATCTGTTTTTATAAATTTATTCTAAACTATCCTTATTAATATTAAAATTGTTAGCCAATATATTTAAATTATATATATTGCTATCATATAATAGCTTTTATTCTGTATTAATATACTAGTATTATATAAAGTATATACAATAAATTTATAAAAAAGAAAAAAATATTGTAGTTAAAAATTATATATCAATAATTATTTAATATAAAAAGAAAAAGTAGTCTTAATAATATTAAAGTTTTATTAACAAATAAAAAATATATAATAAATTAAATAGATCAATATAAAAAAAAAGACATATTGTGGTTAGTAATTTTTTGAACAATAAATATTAATAGAAATATATCTTAAAAATATCTTAGCTAAGTACAAACAGTATTTAAAATTTTGAACTCAAATACTGTTCTTATAAAAACAATAAAATTATAATTGGTATTCTTAAACTGTTATTTTATATTTACAAAAATTGATAAAAAAACTAAAATAATTATAAACAAATATATATATTAGCAACTAGTTTTTTTTAAATAGCATCTAATTTATTAAATTTAATATATCAAAATTATATATATTATAATCAGTTATATATTTATAAAAACATAATTATTATTTTACTATTCTCAAAAAAATTTTAATAATAAATAGTTAAAAATTTATATTGTATATAAATTTATAATAGTATTCTTATAAAAACTCTAAGAATACTAATTTCAAATACTGAGCACAAATTAACTTAGTAAATTGTAATATAATTTATATAAAGCTTATTTAAATTTACTCTAAAAATATACTTGAAGATATATCTGAAATTGCTAATAATGATAAGCTATAAATATACAAAATACTATTTATTTTATATACTATTAAGAATATTAAAACTTGTTAAAAATTATCTTACTAATCTTGACAAAGATTTTTAATTTTGTGTCTAGCAATTAAATAGCTTTCTAAAACTTTATCTCTACAAAATAAAAATAATACTAAAAAAGATTCTGCAAAATTGAACTATTATATACTTAAAGATTATAAATAGCAGTTATTAAAACAATTGATAAAAGTGTTTAAACTATTTAATAAATTAATAACATAATTTAGTAGAGTTTAATATATCACTTTTTAATTATTAATTCAAGTATAGAAGTATTAAAGTTTAAATTTGCTGATGGTATATTTGACAAATCCTTTATAAAAAGCCTTGATAATGATAGATAAAAGTTAATTCATTTTATAATTTTTATAAAATATTAGTTAAACTAACTATTTAATATTTAAAAAATATAAATAAGATTATTAAATAATGATTTTAGCAACAAAAAACTCAATAATAATAAAGAAAATCAATTCTTATTTAACATTATAATCTCAAAGCTTTATATAGTTATTTAAAACTCTCTATAGCATTACTGGCAAGATTCAAATAATATTAAACTCATAATCATATTACTAGATTTATAATTAAGATTAATGAATTTATGATTTGCAAATATACAAAGACAAACAATTAACAAACTGCATAATAAATTTTACACTTAGCAGAATACAGTTGTAGTTAATAAATTAAAAGTTTATTATAAAGAAACTACTATTTCTTGTTTTATGAAAAAGATATTTAGTATTAGTTGAATTCAAGTGAAGATATATATTTAAAAATATTTTAAAGAAGAAAAAGTTCT